CCATATTTCTAAACTATGTAAACGGCAAGACTCATTTTTGAGCAAAAGGAATGTCCACAAGAGATATGTGATAGTCTTCTGCCTAAGATTAATTAAGAGCTTTCTATAATGGATTAACCCTTTTAAAAGCGCTTAAATTAGATATTCCGCTGACGAAACTCGTTTCATGCTGCCCTATTCCAAGGTAATGTCAACGTGCAAATAGAGAATTTTGGTCATTTGTTACCTCACCTACTGTATATCTTAGGTCCATGCAACCAGTGACTACTTCACGCCACAGACATCTATTTAGATCCATATGGATACCTAAGTGAGAAGAGCTACAGTGATTAAAAATATTACATCGAATTTCTTTGAAGGGAGAATAAGTTAACTAAGGAGTTGAACAGTAGTCTAATAAGGCACAGCGCTAATCAGCGGCCTCCAGAGACCTCAGGTTGGAGTTTGCCGACGCAAGACGTTGAAGCGCAACGGCTCACCTCAATCTGACCTTATGGTTAGATGAAAAAACTGTTTTTTTCTCAGGTGCGAGGTCGCTTGCCTAATCTGCCTTTAAAGCATCCACTTCTAAGGTCAAGTTTTAGAGGAGGACATGATTATCCGAACTATCGAAAGCTCCGTGTGTCAGTAAAGTACACCGATGGAAGGATGATTTGTGGCAAGTTAGATAAGACTAAACCGGATGCACGGTTGGATTCCAAATGGCTTCATCTTTACGTACCGTAAGGTCGCAACGAGTGCGAACTTACATATGTCCTCGAGGGAGACGGTGCGTGGCCCACGAAGAGGTCGGGTAAACAGGGAATGGATAAACAAATAATCAGTAATATGAGGGATTTGCACTTCCGGATCATGCAGATTGAAAACATTTTCGCAGGCTTTACTCACTATAGTAATTATATGACCAACTGGAGAAAAAACATTTTCAAGGAACCAGCAGAGACATTGGGTTAAAAACGAAAAACTCAGGACTCTTAAGTTTTGTAGAGTAAAATGAACGCAAATAAAAGCTACAACAAACAATATGCATTCAGAACGTAATCCGCTATCCCTCTCTTATGCCGCAATCTCCACCCAAATGCAGGTATGAAGACCTGAAGCTTTTCATAAGTCCACGTGCCTGACGTTGCATCAAAGTTCTCAAACGAAGAAGCCGCCACCATATTTCATATTCGGGCTAGCTGGACGAGTGAAAACCACTACTGAAGAGTTGTTACTGTTCCTGGATTCAGTTGACAAGGTTTGAATCAACGCGTCGATCCTGAGAACTTGTACCCGAACTGTGTGTAGAGTCCGGGTTGAAATTCATGCAAAGTCAAAAATTTTAGAAAAACAAATAATCCCTCGCAAACCGGTACTAACTCGTGTATGAAAGCTTTGAAATATTAAGCAACAAACAAAAAAAATTTATAGCTTAAAAGAAACGTAACACTACAAATTATTTGTTTAGATAAATCTAATTTTCTCAAGAATACTCAAACTCCACAGATGCGAAAAAACAATAGATTAGAAAAATAAATGTAAATATTACCGCCTGGTAAAATTATATCCAGATCAATTTCTGTATATCAGAAGATCATTTCTTTCACATAATAACTTAACATCTATCTCATACAGGCGTTAGTACCATGTTGTGAGTGATTACCAATCTTTCGCAAATTTCGGCATTTTCCATGAGATTCAGTCCGCAGTGTATGCCGCCTATGGAGAAAATAAATGCTGGCTGAAGGCCCAAGCACATGTACTTCGACGATGCGGTGTGGCTCCCTGACACAGCTGCGAGCGTTTCGATATATTAGCGAATACTGTCAGCAGCGTAAATAATTAGGTAGTGTGTTTTGCTGGTTATGTGTGTTAGCACTACAACAAGCACTGCGCCAAATTGTCAATTAATAGTAGCATATGAATAAGACACCCTGTGATTATGCTCAGACTATCTCAAGCTGGGCGTTGTGGTAGAAAAAGGGCACTACGTGGGATATAAAGGTATGGTGAAGGTTGTGCAACTATTAAATAGCGCTTTGCCTTAACCCGTAAAATAGTAATACATTTTAACCAATACAAATTGGGAATGCACACTGGGCACGGCTTCCTATAGGCACACACAGGCCATATCATAAGATATTAGCTACTGGCCTTTTAGCAACTATGGTTCCTAGACCATGCCGTCGCCTACAAATTAACCTTCATAGACGCGTGTACAGTCCTTATAATTTTGAAATTAACAAGATGCTTTTAATACTGAGGATTCGTTTGACTGGATATGCGTTTTTAGTTGTCCTACAGTGATGCAACCCAAGATTTAAATCCTCAGTGCTTCTTTTTTCACATTACCATCAACACTCACAACTTAATTCAACAACGAGTGTGTGTTAAGTTGCCTGTTGTGGAACTTTTCAGTTATCAGACCAAACCATTTAAAATGCCTTCATTTAAAACAAACGCCAACGATTGCAGGTTAATCGCAAGCGCCTTTAAAAAGTCCTGCCACTAGGTCAAATGTGCCAAGTTCGCCTTTGGTGGTTAAAAGAGACGAATAAAAACATTTAGACAAACATGCTCGAACAGCTTCCTCGGAAAATTCTTTCAGTTCTGGATGGAAATATATCAACCTTATGTTTCTTTACAAGTATTATACGATGAAGAACACGAACTAATTTTGAAATTTTGATTGCTAAGGCATTTCAACCAATATATTTGACCATTAATTTTTGGCCAGACTTCAACATTCTCTTGCCTTGATTAAGCTATAAAAGTACTAACAATGGTTCACGGTATGCATGGTTCGAAATTTTAGCCCGCTAAGAAGTGAGCCCAATCTATAATGCAAAGCATAGTCTTTACATAGACCTACATTCTCCTGGCATTTTATATCACATTAGCACAAAATCTACCCCTTTGCCATCCTCAGGAGGGCCGGGTTTTACTTCGTACGGATTAATGCAAACACAGTTCCGTGTCCGGGAACTTTTTCCAGCCAATGGGCATGTTAAGAGGTCACAAACCGACCAACCAATTTACATTACGATTCATATAAATAGAGGTTAAAAATGAAAGTATTCAAGCTATTCCTTACAGGTGAGTGAGCCTTCGGACTTATCCTCCAGCTCTATTAGCAAATCTCCGCTGAATATTTTGCAATAAACTAACGAATCCTTTCCTTTAATCTACAGATTCACAACTGTCCGAAAATGAGGTAAGTTGGCGTAATCTGGCGCTCCCTTAACCTAGTCTATAGAATATACTCCAATATACATTAATCTTAAAGTCCCAATTCAACTTCTTATGTAATTTTGAATAGTGGGCTCGAATAAGGCCATTTCCTAATCGACTTATTCAACAAAATATCATGGTATTGTATGTGCTTTGGGAAGCAGACGTGTTTTGCCTTTGGAACATTCCGCCCTGAGAAGGTCCTTCGGCATGATTAGCAACCTGAATTAGATAGGAAAATAACATAAAAGTTCCAATATATATTGACTTTCTATAAGTTTCATTTTGTGGTTTAGTAATCGATCTGGCTTTACCACAGGAGTTAAATCCTTTACTTCTTATTATCTTCAATTGCAAGTTTTTCAAACGTTCGGGAATTGCCCTGGCATCTAGCTGGAGTATAGGTGCTCGCTAAAGCAATAAGTTTACTTGCTTGACTTTTCGGACATTTACTCAAATACATCGTCAGAAACAGTGGCGACTGATTTTGACGCGTCTGCCTCCGATGATGGGGTCGGTGGAGTATCTGAACCCTTAGGCCAGTAAACGTTTTACAGTAGTGACCGCTTCTTCGCCTGAGCTACTTCCTGGGACTCTTCGGTTCGGTTCTACCATGCAGCTGAATCCGTCATAGAACCATTGCAAGACCGTCTGGCAGAAACTGTTGCTAGACGATAATTGCGTATTATTATTGCATGCTTGATGTGGACGCTTCTTTGGTGCACCATCATTCGTTGAAGAAAAAATGACCATCAATTTCTCCTATCTTGCGCCATAGTTTCAGCAAGTCCGTAATGGCCATGTTCAAGGAGTTGGACACAGACGGTTCCAACAAAGTCAGCGCTGCAGAATTGGCCACCATGCTCAAAGAAATGGGCAGTTCTCTGGATATTAAGGCAGTGGAGAGACTGGTGAAGAAGTTTGATGCCAACGGAGATGGTGAGCTCAGCCTGGAGGAATTGAACATCATGCTGGAAGGCTGTTAAACTCCCTTGTCCTTAGTTTTGACATGTCAGGCTCCCGCAGCTGCATTTACTCCTTTACGTAAAATAAAATATTTTTCTGCTTTTTAACATTGTGTT